CATGATCGTTAGGTCCTCCCCCTGTGTGTTTTATCACCTTTTGTACTCCCCTCTTTTTTGTGGTTGCGGGGTGAGTCATAGCCCCGGGCCCCCGCCTCTTATGATTGTACTGGTCCTTTTCCCCCGCTCCAGAGTTTATCATCTCGTTTAAAAAACATGTATGGTTGCGCCCCACCCCCGTCACTTTCTAGGATTCCCACCCCCTGACTACTCTATGATGAAAAAAATATTCCCTAACATCCCTTTGTTTCTCTGAGTTTCAACTTCAATTGTGACCTTTTGTTCCCCTGTGTCCATCTCGAACATCCGTCTTTGTCCCCCTTGTCTATTCCGGAGTTTTTTTGTTTTATCATGTCCCCCCCTGACCCTCCTGTCCTCCAGTGTGTGGGCCCGTTTTCCCTCAACCTTTTTCGTAGGACAATCGTGCTCGGGGGGACTGTCTTGTTGAAAAAAACGTTTGCCTTTCTCTAATTTTTGACGTGCTTGACAGGTGGGACAAATGGGCTGTACTCCATTTTGGGCGTGAGTAAAGGTTAACGGTTTTGAAGACCTTACTGAGGTTTTCGGAACGCTTCCGTGGGTTTTCCCAGGCCCCCGTATGCTGCAGCGTTATTGTTTGATGTGCGCTCAGGAGATATGCTCGGTGTTATTCCCCCCAGATCTTTTTCCCTTGGTGGGTTTGCAGCTTTGTCATTAGACTATATTGTGCCCGTGGTCTTCTTTGCCCTTCTTTCATTAACTTCACATATCTGCAAACAAGGCACTTTGGTCTATCCCTTCGTTATGTCGTTCCATTTCCCCAAAACGCACAGGCCCTAGAATTTGACCCTGGGGGAACCCCGTTTGTCACAGGCGCCCCCTGACCCTCGTCGCGTCCATGACTTTTTGTTCCCTCCCTGTAGGTATTTTTGATCCATTGCAGTGCCTTCCCGTTATGTGGCCCGTCTCTGCTTTTTTCGTAAAATCTTGTGAGGAATTGTGTCGAAGGCCTTTTTTGCAGTCCAAAACAATGAGTCGATCCACCCTTCATCTTGTTTACTTCTGTCCTTTCATAAAACTCCAGTAGGTTGTGACACAGGTTTTTCTTCCCGGAAACCCTGCTGGTTGTCGTTTCACTTGTTTTTTTTCGGTGCTCCCACTTCCTCCTGTGTCTTCTCCATGATTTGCATATTACCGTTAGGATAAGGTCTGTGTTTAATGCCTATGTCTGTCTCCCTTTTTTTAAAAATTGGGATACATTTGCCTCTTCCCCCCCCTCGGAGTTTCCCAGTTTCAAAAGTGTGTTGAAAATCTTTTTTAATGGCACACCAATATTCTGCTCCCCCTTTAAGGGGCCCCCGGAGAGTTGTTTGGTCCCCCGCCCCTTTTTGGGGGGTCAAGTTGCTAGCAGTTTTCACCTCCTCCTTTTGGGTTTAAAGTCTCATCCCGCACTTTTCTGGGTACCCCCTGTTGATTTCTGGAGTCCCCTGGTTTCCACTGTAAATATCTCTTTAAATTGTTTTGGCTCCTGACATACCTTCCCGGGGTTTCTTGTGAAATCCCCATCCCCCTTCCTATTGATTACCTGGTCTTTACTGTTGTTTCTCTGATGGGCTTACAACGTTCAGGTAGATTAATTCGATGCATGTATTGTCGGGCCCCCCTTTTTTGTGTTTTTCGTTTCTCTTTCGCTACCCCTTTTTTTCCCGAGTTCTCGTTTCGTCCTTTTTCCCTTTCTAGTACACTAGTTTTTGCCTCCCTCACCTTTGGGTGACCAAGGATCGTCTGTTTTTATTATTTTTTGTTTTTGGGAAAAAAAACCTCTCCCCTGCCTCCTTTTATTTTGTTGCTACATGCCTCATTTCTTGTACTGGTTTCCCGTCAGTTCCTTTTCCCCGAATGTCTTTAAAAGGAAATTCCTCAGCCGAGTAGTTCCCCCCCTTTTTTAGTTGGTTTTTCCCAACCTATTCCTTATCTCTCCCTTGGGAGTCAATTGTGTCGAACCAGAACCCCATGATCCTAGCTCCCCGGGGGGCCCTTTTATAATGAATCCTCGATGTCGAAACTTAAGGTGAATACAAGGCCCGTCTTGTGGTTCCCTTTCTCCTCTCTGGTAGTGTCTCTAACTGTTGATGCAAAAAGGTTTTCCAGTACCACTCTCATTTGGGCTCTCCTGTTTGGGACCCCCCTGGGGTCCGGGGTTTTTCCCCGTCAAAACTCCTTGTGTGTTGTGTGTGTGGTTGTGTTTTGTGTTTTGTGTGTGTTGTGTTGTGTGTTTGTGTGTGTGTGTGTGTGCATTTCATTGTGGTTGTCTTTATTAAATTATTGTAAACTTATCTAAAATATATTTGTTGGATTATACTAAATTAAACTAGGTTTATTATGATTAGGTCAGGTAAGTTTTCTAAGGGTCTTTTGGTACAAATTATTAATTTTTACATTAACATAAATGAAAAAAATTTATCTTTAAATGTATAAAAGAAAATTTTAGAAAGGACTTATTTAAATGAGTCTTGCTATTTTACCAATTTTACCTATTCGGCACGATATTATATATATATATATATTATATATATTATATATATATATATATATATATATTTATATATATATATATATTATATATATATATATTTCTTGTATTTTCTTATCATTTAGATAAATGTAATAATATTTATAATGCTTCTGTAAAAACAAGTAAATGAATCTGCTATATATAATAATAATAACAATAATGATAAATCAGATTATTGCCTTAACAGCTGTTTGTGTTAATGTTAAGTTAAGAAGGAAGATGAAAGTAGTGTTTCTCATAACGTTGTTGATGTTGGTAGGTCGGTGTTCGTGTGGGGTGAACAACGGGGAACGCATCGTGGGTGGAACAGAGTTAACACTACACAAGTACCCATGGTTGGTGGGTCTCAAGTTACCTAAGAAGAAAGATGGTTACTACTGCGGTGGTACCATTATAACTGCTCGATACATCATCACTGCAGCACACTGCCTCTATGATCAGGACACTGGTAGAGTGATTAAGTCTAAGTTCCTTAAGGTTGGTGTTGGAGATCACAACCAGTGGACGACACAAGACGATGTACAGGGTGTTACTGCCTTGGTAGACGTACAGAACATCATTGTACACGAGAAATATTCCTTCTTCGAGACTTACCATGACATAGGGCTGGTCCAATTGGCCCAAGAGCTGGATCTAGTCTCCCATGTTCAGCTGAGGGCGGCATGTTTGCCCACAGACCCCAGCAACATGTTTGAGGGCACTACAGGCATGGTATACGGCTGGGGCATCATCCACACTACTGATCTACATCAGCCAGGCGTAGTTCGGGAAGTTAGTGTTTCCATACTTGATCAAGATTGTCAAGGTAAACGAGTAGGTTACGTCAAGATAACACCTAGGATGCTGTGTGCTGGTGAGGAGGATGGCGGGAAGGATACGTGTCTAGGAGATTCAGGAGGACCTCTCACTGTAATGAAGGATTTCCGCCACATACTGGTAGGAATCACATCATTCGGCGTTGGCTGTGGGATCCCTGGATCTCCCGGTGTTTACACTCGCGTCTCCGCCTACCTGGAGTGGATCACCGCCAATGTTGAAGGTGATTCTTTTTGCAACTAAACGTATTTAAATTCGACCGAAAAGGATTATTTTTCTTTTGCAAATTTTGGTTTTCGAACTTTCCATCAATGTTTGTATTTACTGCGAACGTTGTATCCATTTTGTAGATGGAAACGTGAAGGCTACCTGCTAGACTCCTGCTAGACTCCTGCTACTTGCTAGACTCCAGCTACCTGCTAGACTCCTGCTACTTGCTAGACTCCAGTTACCTGCTAAACCCCAGCCTCCTGCTAGACTCCAGTCACCTGCTAGACCCCAGCTACCTGCTAGACTCCAGCTACCTGCTAGACTCCAGTCACCTGCTACACTCCAGCTACCTGCTAGTCTCCAACCAGCTGCTAGACTCCAGTTACCTGCTAAACCCCAGCCTCCTGCTAGACTCCAGTCACCTGCTGGACCCCAGCCTCCTGTTAGACTCCAGCTACCTGTTAGACTCCAGCTACCTGCTAGACTACAGCCAGCTGCTAGATTCCAGCTACATTCTAGACTACACCTACCTGCTAGACTTCAGCTACCTGCTAAACTCCAGCTACCTGCTAGACTCCAGCTACCTGCTAGATTCCAGCTACCTGCTAGACTCCAGCTACCTTCTAGACTCCAGCTACCTGCTAGACTTCAGCCAGCTGCTAGACTCCAGCTACCTGCTAGACTCATTTACCTGCTAGACTCCAGTCACCTGCTAGACTCCAGGTACCTGCTAGACTCCAGCTACCTGCTAGACTCCACCTAGCTACTAGACTCCAGCTACCTGCTAGACTCCAGCTTCCTGCTAGACTCCAGCTAACTGCTAGACTCCAGCCACCTGCTGGACTCCAGCTACCTGCTAGACTCCAGCTACCGGCTAGACTCCAGCTACCTGCTAGACTTCAGCTACCTGCTAGACTCCAGCCAGCTCCTAGACTCCAGCTACCTGCTAGACTCCAGCCAGCTGCTAGACTCCAGCTACCTGCTAAACCCCATCCTCCTGCTAGACTCCAGTCACCTGCTAGACCCCAGCTACCTGCTAGACTCCAGCTACCTGCTAGACTCCAGTCACCTGCTAGGCTGCAGCTACCTGCTAGACTCGAGCCAGCTGCTAGACTCCAGTTACCTGCTAAACCCCAGCCTCCTGCTAGACTCCAGTCACCTGCTGGACCCCAGCCTCCCGTTAGACTCCAGTTACCTGCTAGACTCCAGCTACCTGCTAGACTCCAGCTACCTGTTAGACTCCAGCTACCTGCTAGACTCCAGCCAGCTGGTAGATTCCAGCTACATGCTAGACTCCACCTACCTGCTAGACTCCAGCTACCTGCTAGACTCCAGCTACCCGCTAGACTCCAGCTACCTGCTAGATTCCAGCTACCTGCTAGACTCAGCTACCTTCTAGACTCCAGCTACCTGCTAGACTTCAGCCAGCTGCTAGACTCCAGCTACCTGCTAGTCTCCAGCCAGCTGCTAGACTCCAGCTACCTGCTAGACTCCAGCTACCTGCCGGAGTCTAACTACCTGCTAGGCTCCTGCCAGCTGCTAGACTCCAGCTACCTGGTAGAATCCAGCTACCTGCTAGACTCCAGCTACCTGCTAGACTTCAGCCAGCTGCTAGACTCAAGCTACCTGCTAGACTTCAGCTACCTGCTAGATTCCAGCTACCTGCTAGACTCCAGCTACCTCCTAGACTCCAGCTACCTGCTAGACTCCAGCTGTCTGCTAGACTCCAGCTACCTGCTAGACTCCAGCCAGCTGCTAGACTCCAGCTACCTGCTAGACTCCAGCTACCTGCTAGACTCCAGCTACCTGCTAGACTCCAGCTACCTGCTAAACTCTAGCTACCTGCTATACTCCAGCCAACTGCTAGACTCCAGCTACCTGCTAGACTCCAGCTACCTGCTAGTCTCCAGCCAGCTGCTAGACTCCAGCTACCTGCTAGACTCCAGCTACCTGCTAGTCTCCAGCCAGCTGCTAGACTCCAGCTACCTGCTAGACTCCAGCTACCTGCTAGACTCCAGCTACCTGCTAGACTCCAGCTACCTGCTAGACTCCAGCTACCTGCTAAACTCTAGCTACCTGCTAGACTCCAGCTAACTGCTAGACTCCAGCTACCTGCTAGACTCCAGCTACCTGCTAGACTCCAGCTACCTGCTAGACTCCAGCTACCTGCTAGACTCCAGCTACCTGCTAGACTCCTGCCAGCTGCTAGGCTCCTGCCAGTTGCTAGACTCCAGCCGGACTCTACACAGGGTGGATAGGGGACAATGTGGCAACTGTTATAAGTGTATGGAATAGGAGGAATGTTACTGACAACAGTGAAGAGTTTTTAAGATGATAGTGAGGCTCAGGTTAGAGTATGTAGGATACAGAGAGATTATTTCCCAGTAAAAGTAGGACTTAGACAAGTATGTGTGATGAGACCATGGTTGTTGAATTTATTTATAGAGTAGTAAGACAAGTGAATGTTCCGGTGTTGGCAAGAGGTAAAGAATCTAACGCAAAGTGGGAGATGTCACAGCTGCTCTTTGCTGATGACACTGTGCTGTTGGGAGATTCTGAAGAGAAGTTGCAAAGGTTGGTGGATGAATTTGGTATTGTATGTAAAAGAAGAAAATTAAAAAATAATGCAGGAAAGAGTAAGGTGATGAGGATAACACAATAATTAGGTGACGAAACATTGGATATCAGATTGGAGGGAGAGAGTATGGAGGAGGTGAATGTATTCAGATATTTAGGAGTGGACGTGTGAGTGGATGGGTTTATGAAAGATGAGCTGAATCATAGAATTGATGAGGGGAAAAGGTGAGTGGTGCATTGAGGAGTCTGTGGAGACAAAGAACTTTGTCCGTTTAAGCAATGAGAGGAATGTATGAGAGCATAGTTATATCAACACTCTTATATGGGTGTGAAGCATGGGTTGTGAATGTTGCAGCGAGGAGAAGGCTGGAGGCAGTGGAGATGTTATGTCTGAGAGCAATGTGTGGTGTGAATATAATGCAGAGAATTCGTAGTTTGGAAATTATTAGGAAGTGCAGGGTTACCAAAACTATTATCCAGAGAACTGTGGAGGGGTTGTTGAGGTGGTTCGGACATGTAGAGAGGTTAGAATGATATAAAATGACTTCGAGAGTGTATAAATATATAGTGGAGGGAAGGCGGGGAAGAGGTTGGCCTAGGTAAGGTTGGAGTGAGGGAGTAAAGGAGGTTTTGTGTGAGGGGCTTTGACTTCCAGCAAGCATGTGTGAGCGTGTTAGGTGCAAATGGAGACAAATGGTTTTTAATACTTGACGTGCTGTTGGAGAGTGAGCAAAGTAACATCTATGAAGGGGTTCAGGGAAACCGGCAGGCCGGACTTGAGTCCTGGAGATGGGAAGTACAGTGCCTGCACTCTGAAGGAGGGGTGTTAATGTTGCAGTTTAAAAACTGTAGTGTAAAGCACCCTTCTGGCAAGACAGTGATGGAGTGAATAATGGTGGACCACCCTGCCTTGGTGGACCACCCTGCCTTGGTGGACCACCCTACCTTGGTGGGCCACCCTGCCTTGGTGGACCACCCTGCCTTGGTGGACCACCCTACCTTGGTGGATCGCCCTGCCTTGGTGGGCCACCCTCCCTTGGTGGACAGCCCTGCCTTGGTGGACCACCCTGCCTTGGTGGACCACCCTGCGTTGGTGGTCCACCCTGCCTTGGTGGGCCACTCTGCCTTGGTGGACCACCCTGCCTTGGTGGACCACCCTGCCTTGATGGACCACCCTGCCTTGGTTGACCACCCTACCTTGGTGGGCCACCCTACCTTGGTGGGCCACCCTGCCTTGGTGGACCACCCTACAATGGTGAGCCACCCTACCTTGGTGGGCCAACCTGCCTTGGTGGACCACCCCACCTTGGTGGGCCACCCTACCTTGGTGGGCCACTCTGCCTTGGTGGGCCACCCTGCCTTGGTGGACCACCCTACCTTGGTGGGCCACACTACCTTGGTGGGACACTTTTTCCCTTTGGGGGACCACCCTTTCCTTGGTGGGCCACCTACTTTGGGGGTCAAACCCCCTCTTTGGGG